AAGAGACCTTTTTGTTGTGAATCAATATGCACATGTTATACTTTTCTCTCCTGTTTTCGTCTCTGAATTCATTTTGTATTATAGTGATTGTACTTCAAAGCTTTCGGTCATGTGAAGATTGAACTATATGAAATTCAAAATTTATCATAGGATGTTTGTTTTGAGCCAACAAAATTAACCTTGAAAAACTATCGCTCCCATGAGACAGATGTCTCCTCCTAAGGTGGTTGACTGTTTAATTCACACCGTCGCAACTTCAAGATAAATATCTGGATTTTCACAAAATATGCAGAGTGTAGGACAGTAATCTCCACAATGTGTAACCGATGTCGAAGAGTTGTCCATGTATGCCCTTTTTGCTAAAGATGAAATGCACATTAAGCTTATTTCAAAGATATTCGGGAGTGAAGGTGAGTTTGAGCGATTCATATCCAGTAAGCTTTGCTTTGCCGTATCCAAAATTTGTCCAAAGTACTACCCTGCTTACACAGTCCAAAGGCTTTTGAGGATTAAAAAAAAGCATGCTCATTTCTTATTCTGTCGTAATGTCTACTTGCCTGAACGGACCTCCAGCGCTAATTCATGTTTTCTCCTTTTTATTATGCGAATCTACCTTACAAAAGAAAGGATACTTGGGCGAAGTTGTGTTCGCATATGAAATGTATACCATCTTATAGAGCTGGAGCGCTGATTTCTATCTGCTTTATATATCTGCACGCTTCTGGCAGGGGAGAACTGGAAATTTCTTGAGACAAAAATTTATATATTTTGCCAAGGTAAAAACAGGTGTTGAGTTCTTTTCGGCGCTCGAAAGGAGTAATGAATGACATGAGATACGATATATATTGCATAAAGCGCCCTGGTAGTAATCATGACTCCATTCGAACTCACGGCTAAACTTTTGTATGATTTTATTGTAGCGTTTCAGCAAATTCTTTCAGAATTTTGCATAAAAGTCTAAGCTCAGAAAAGCTTTGCGGATACCGAGAAGAGGTTAAAATCAGCGTGCAATGCTCTACAAAGCAATACACATTTTGTTTGGAAATGCCAATTCGACCATCTCGCACACGACAAAAAATTGTATCAAAGAGAAACCAGTAAAAAATTTTTCTTTTAACTGTCGAGAATTACGTCCACGGGAGTTTTACAACCATATTTTACCGTGTTTCCATTTGAAATACTACCTGAGCACAATTTTAGTACTTCATGTTGACTTTGATGTTTTAGTCAATCAGTCTCAGAGTTCACAGGCCAGGCTGAACAACATTGACCAAATCTAGGATATCAGCCACGAAGCTCAATACCAGCACTTTATGGCAAAGATAAAAAGAAAATAGATAGTCAAAATAGTCATACAGTACCCCATAAGGCAAAGCTTTGATATGAAAAATCTCAAGGATATTCAGCCTGTGTTGCTGAGCGAAACAACACAGCAAGTTTGTCCTTGAATACAACAATGGTCAAATACGAGGTAAGCGATAGACAATGAACTGGAAAATTCATTGATTCCAGAATGATGAAAACTGAAAGAAGAGGGGTGACATTTTCCGTTGTATCTACTTATGAGGTCCCCACTCTTGTAGTCCGCTCAGGTGGTGCAGGTGATTCACTCTTCATTTCCGGTGTTTCCGTCGTCGCTGGACCACTAGGAGCTTCTGTTTTTCGATCCGCTTCTGTTGTTTCCTCTAAAGGGGCTTTGGTTGTCTCAGGTAATGCCGATGGACTGGGTCCGCCCGTGACACTTGGGGGGTTCCCATTCACTCCGAAGAAATCATCCTCAGGAGGAAGGGGGTTCCCTTTACCGTCCGTCGCCGTTACTTTTCCGTTTTCGGTTTTGTAGACAGCAGTTCGGTTGCCGATTTTCAGTCTGACGATAGAAACAGTGGTTCCATTGATCGTGTTCTTCTCTGTGTGTAGCATGTACGAAACTCCTTTTGGGACTGTGGCATTGTATTCCTTTCCTCCAATAAACTGTGTAATTGTTGTCGTACCGTTGACCACGGTTATACCATTCCCCTGTGCAGCCTTCTCAAAAGTGGAGATGATTTTTCCCCAGTCAGGGAACCCCTGGAACACACTACTAAATCATATTCAAGTTCCAACAAATAAGATACTACTTACGAAATCCGGGAAGCTTGGGAAGCTCGGGAAGCTTGGGAAGCTTGGGAAACTTGGGAAACTTGGGAAACTCGGGAAACTGGGGAAGGCCTTGTTGAAGATGCTATCGAATCCGCTTGAGAATGGGGAAGAGAAGAATGGAGAGTCGAAACCGAACCTTGATAGGAACTGCAATATCTCATAATTAAGGTATAGCCAAGTTTATTTTCCGCTTATTATAGCGTGCTTGCGAGAAACTTTTGCGCGTAAACAAATACCGCGACCGAAATGCCGGCGATCTGCGCGCGCAAGTAACCTGCGTTACAGGCGGAGCTATCTATTCACGAGCAAATGTTAGCGCAGATTCTCGGCACCGTAAGCACACTGTGTTGAGCGGAAGATCTACTAGATTGTAACTGCAATCAAGAAGAAAACTTTTATAACATATTGATCAGATCTGCAAGTATGCGAACTAAATATAAAAAATTTAAAAATCAAATCAAAAGCCATTACAAAGCTTGCCGCCTACAAAATTAGTGTGTTGGTCTGCAAACAGAGCAAAAAGCGTTTTGAATGTTTTTGCATAATTTGAGCAGGACTCTTTTCCCATGAACGTGCGATTATATTAGAATATTGAATATGGTGAAAGTAACATTAGCGATCATATGATTTAGCGCTGCCATTATGCAAATAATGCCAAACATTATTCCATATCTTGCTGATGGCCATGTTGATCAGACCGAATGGAAATGTAAGTAGGCTTA